TCGGTCTACCCGATCGGGTATAGACACTCGATCGTGGTCAAAATCTTCCCTGCACGTTCCTTTGTCTTCGGATCCGATCCGATTTGAAGTTTCAATGAGATACCCGATTGAGTATAGATGATACCCGACCGGGTATAGGCCAAAAATTCAGGATCCTTATTTTGTCTTGAGATTATGCACCTTTCTTCCACTTTTTGGGGTTCACCAACTGTCCTTTGAGTGATCAAGACCCGTTTGAGCTCAGAATGAACCCAATCTAAACAATTTACAATAATTTAACAAACTAAACTATTACACCAAAAGTGTGTAATTTGTAAAGTAAAAATCAATCAAAACTAATTAAAAAAATACAAACATACACATGAAAATTACATTATTATCAATGTCGCTGTGTTTTTAGCAAATTTCGATCCAACTGGCGTCGGTTTCAGCCTGACTGGCGCCGGTTTCATGTGTTCTTCATGTAAAACAGGGACGACCAACGCCGGTTGATCAGGTGTCTGGCGCCGGTTACACGAGTTTTTTGCCGGTTTTACCAAATGACCGGCCCCAGATGATTACAGGCCCGTTTTGCTCACAAACTTCACCCGATCGGCGCCGGTGGCGGCTTGACCGACGTCGGTTGATGCGATTCAACATGTACACTTTTTTTGTTCCATTTTCGACATCCGCAATTGATCTAGAAGTGCCGGTTTTCGGCCCCTTTTGACCCCATATTTGTCGCTCTTAGCCGTCTTTCACATTTTTGCTCATTTTGGAATATTTATCTATTTTTGCTTCATATTTTTGTAAGGATAAATTCTAAAACTAGCCCAAATCCGCCGCCTAGGCGTCGGAAAGTCGCTGGGCGTCAACCTCCCGGGCTGATTTTCTTGTTTTCGGCCCCCAAATCGCTTCACCTACTAATAGGCCGCACAGACCGAGTAGTAGCCCGATTTCTCTGAATAGTTACACTCGTTAGTCGGCCATGGTATAAAAAGACCTGCGCCGTTTTAACTTCCCGATGAAACATTGCTCACTTTCTTGGTGAAACCTCATGTCCTCATTTGTCTCTTTCTTCTCTTCCGACGGCCATTGACGAGGGACGGCTCTCTCTTCACTTCAAACTCTGGATGCCCCTTCTTCCTTCTTCAAATTCTCACTCCAGTAATCAGGTAAAGATCTTTTGAATGTATTATTTTAGTCACTTTGTTACCAAGACGGTTTGGAAAATTTGTGCTGATTTATGTTGACACATGAAACCTAATTGAGATAATTTGAATGTAATTAGTATGGGTGTATGTGAGAAACGAGACCGAGTGATTAAATGAGAAATTGATAACCTGGTATTGGAAGGAACTTGAAACGTAGCTATGGTGTTCGACAAAATTCCTCAAAGAAGTAATGCAAACTTTGACTAGAAATTTATTTCATTTACCTTACTTTTCTTAAGAAAAGAGTTGAGAGCTATTAATTTGTCTGTTTCTCTATCTTCCGTTCATGAATATATATGAAGACTACCTTCTTGATTGATAATAATGTTATAGTTTTAGGAAATTCAATAGTTTTGATGACCTCTTTCGCGGCGTTGTAGTAAAACGGAGTCTAACCTTTCGGTTTTTTCGAGTATCTTGTCTCTTGAGGAATGGCGGAGGAGTTTTCTGATTTTAAGCCCAGTCACAGGTTATCGCAAATTATTAGAAGCTTTCCAAATTAAAACTTTTGATTGGTTTTCTAAACTAGTTTTTATTGAAAAAGAAAGTAATTTAAATTATGCAAATACTAATGATGGCTCAAAAATAAACTAAATAAAAAAATATTAAACTCTAAATGGATTGATCAAAGAAGGGCAATGAATTGAATAATTAGAAATGGATATATTCTTGGACCTAGTAATTAGGGGAATTAAAACAAAAATTGGACTAATAATTTCTTTTCTCATAGACAAGAATAGAAATTACTTTCATTAATTTATCATATTTCTAGGGTTCATCAATGTATTCAAAAATGGTTGGATTGAATTAAATTCTAATCTCATAGACAAGACAGAAATAATTCTCCAATATTTTGTTCAATAAAAATAGTCAAATTCATTAACTAATTAAACTCATTAATTAAGCAATTTGAATTGAATTCTCATAGACAAGATGTAAATCCATTTCATTAAAATTTCCTATTTCTAGGCCTTATTAACGTGCTTAAATATGGTTGGCTCAAATTATTTTCTATCCCATAGACAAGTTAGAAATAATTTTGAATAACTAGTCCAATTAATTAATTTTAACCCCTAATTTTTGGCTAACAAGTCAATCCATATTCCTTTAATTCAATTCATGCCCAAGAGTAAATTAACTACAACAACTCATTACTAATTTTAACATTTTACATATAAAATAAGACATGATCATAAATAATAACAACACAAGAAAATATTAAAGTGAATACTCCCAACATCTAAGCATTCGTTTCTTTCACAAATAAACATTATTTATACTAGGTATTGAGGTTGTCTAAGTAGGAGATTAATATAACAACAAGATCTAATTTTCTTGAATTAAAATGGAAAATACGAAACTATTAAAATTAATTCAGAGATTTTTTCACAAATATTTGGGAAATAAAAACAATATATTCAGAATCTACACGACGAGAGGATGAATTTTCATATAAAGAACTTACAAATTGGAGCTAAAATGAAAAAGATATGAAAGATTGAAGTTGAAGGTGCAACAATGGTGGAAATCCGAGCTTTGAAGAGGAAGAAGAAGACCTTTTTGAACTAGTTTCGGGCTAAGAATGGTGTGTTTAGGATGAGGAAAAATCGGGCTATTTATAGCACCAAAAATACCGTAGGCGGCCAACCAGGCGGCCGCCTGCCACCTTGCTCCGGCTGCCTTCCGTCCCATCACCGGCAGTCGAACGTGCGCCGATCCATTCATCCGCCGCAGGCGGTCCAGCAGGCGGCCGCCTGCCGTTCCTGTCTGGCCGCCTGCCGTCAAATCCCACCGGCCGGTGGTTGGTTTGTCACCTTGTGCCGCAGGCGGTCACCGAAGGCGGCCGCCTTTCGTCCAGTGTCGGCAGCCTTCGGTCTTCTCCGGTCCGGTCAAAAATTCCAAAAATGCTGACTTTCCAAAATAGCGTAGGCGGCCTGGAAGACGGCCAATCTGGGCGCCTATTTGGGCGCCTATTTGGGCGCCTGTGAGATTTTTTTTTCTGTCTTGTTCTGTATTTTGTGCTCTTCAACTTTCCCTTCTGGACCACTTTGAAATTCTGCTTCCTTCTTTCGGTATGATATCATTTTTCACTCAAATTGACTCATTGTGTGCTTAATTGACCCGAAATTTCGTCAAACATATCATGGACGTGATTTTTACCTGATTTCACGAAACTTGAACCAAAATATATAAAACATGCATTGTTTTTCTATTTTTCAATCCAAAATCACTTAAATTTGATAAGAAAAATAAGTACAAAAATGGTCTTATCAAGTCTACTTTTCATTTGTTAAGCAACCTAAACTGATTTTGGAATTCATGAGTATTCTAAAATTTTAGCCCATAGTTCAGTGTATTAATACTTAAATGTTATAAAAGCAGTCTGAATTGATTTTGGAATTCCATATGGACGTGGGTTTCCAGCCAAATGAAGAAGCATTATAATTGCTTATTTTGCCTCATAGGTCTGTTTTTTCTTACAAAAGAACCCGTATATGCTACTCTTATGTTAAAATTGTGCCAGATTTTGTGATGTATTGTTGTGTAGTTTGTGTAATAATATATGAAATAGGCTAAGAGTGGGGGAAGTGTATTAAATTGTAAGCTAAAAGCCATAAAATGATGTTGCAAACTTGCAGGTATCAGGTGGATTAAAGATCAAATGGTGCACATTTTGGGATTCTGTATTTCCATGTATGCTAATGTTCCTTGTGATCATGTAATGTATTGAAGGAGCAAATATCATACTGAAATCCTTAGTATTAATGCTCTTGTCCAATAGTACTGTTTTTTGGTAATACACTAGCAGACTAGCACTTGGTTTAAAACTCTAAAAACTCATTGTGGGGTTTTGATTTTTTTAACAGAGTTTTGATTGTTGTTGTAAACTGCAGTAATAACTTAATAATATGTTTAATGTAGTAGTTTGTACTTAGAATATATACATATTTTTGACATTTTTTAAACCGAGTTGGCCGCCTAGTCGGCCCCTAGTCGCCCTAGGCATTAGGCGGTGCATTGCCGCCCGACTAGCGCCTAGCGAGTTTTAGAACATTGGATAAATATAATTATCTATGTAAAACATAAGTAATTATTGTTCTTATCAAATTCTCCCACACTTGAGCGTTGCTAGTCCTCGAGCAAGTCAGTCACCTTTAGGTGTCTTGGTTAGTTCAACAAAGATATATGCACAAATAATTTTAATTTTAAGAGGTAAAAACATATATAGACTCTTTTATCATTCTCGGTCCAAAACCATTTTTTATTAGACACAAAAAATATCATTAGATTTAGAAAAATTACTTATACTCTTGAGAATTGATGATTGGATTGTGACTAGGGCTTTTTGGGGTGTGTGGGATGGCTTTTGGGTGTTTATGACTTTTCAGTATATGAATGGATCAATTGAAATTCTTGGAAGAGACCATGATCTAATTCTTTTTTTATACTCATTTAAAATGGATCTCAACAAGTATTTACTAAAAGTCATTTTGATGATCCTAATTTATTTGATGAGATATGAGGGTGGCTTGTATTTCAAAAAAAATGGTTCTTGAATATTTGAAATGTATTTAAACCATTTTTGGAAATGTGTTTCCTAGTCACAGTGTTTTTCTTTTGGGAACAATTTTCAAGAGCAAAAAGTAGGGTAATAAATCTACAAAATTGATAGTTTTTGTGAATAATAAAAAAACTTTGTCAATCAAATACCCATTAAAAAGAGAAATATCACAAATTTTTACCTTCCTAAAAAAAATTGCACACAAAATTTGTTTGACTACCCACGAGATGTATCCCCTCACACTTAAAATACATTGTCCCAATGTATGATGCAAGAAAACAAATACTTCCATCAACATCCACCATTAAGTGTGTTAGAGAAGAGTATGCCATAATAATAACAACAAAGGGTGGTGTGGATCGGGAGGGAAGTACCCAAATTGGCCGTAGAAGTGTTGGGTGAACTTTCTCCAAACCTTTAGTCATAGCCCTGCAATTTCTCCTCCATCCTCGTTTGGCGGGTCTCGAAAGCATCGTAACGGGTGTGGAGCTCCTCTTGTCGGTCTCATACAAGTTCATACGTGTATGCATTTTGTCCATGGAGTCGATGAGGTAGTCTATACTCTGTGGCTCTGTGTCGTAGTTCGTCGTGGCCGGGCTGCGGGTTGCGGTTGAGCTTCGCCCATTTCTTCATCTCCACCATCATGCTCCTCGTGGTCCCCTCATCCTTGCGGACCCATGTGTTATCCACCAGTTTTGAATTGGAGGGACACCATAATAGTACCCGCATTCAGAACTTGTGACCTCGACGTGTATTCAACTTCTTCATTGGTAAGGTCAACGCTGAAACTCTTGAATACCATAGTAAGTAAGAGATGGTAAAGAACGTTTTTATCACCTCTTTTAGTTTTGACGACGCTCCTCATGTCCATCATGATGAGAGGGGACAAAGGAACACCTTGAATCCGTTTGAGCCCGTTGACCATCTTGTGCAGAAGGTAGACGTCCACCTGATGAAGTATATGTGTGTCACTAGTCCATGGTAAGATGTTGAAGTTGAGAAGGTACACGATAAGTCTCTCCAGAGTATTGAGAACACGGGCCTTAAGCTCCCCTTCGAGGCCAAAGCATTGCATTGCTCCTATCTCATCATAAGCGGGGTCGCTTATCACCGTTTTGGAGTTCATGGTGAAGGGAGTACCCACGTCAACAATTTGAAGTAGGTTGCAAAGTTGGTTTTTACTCACCGTGATTGTCGTGCCTTTGACCCGTGCTCATGATGTCCCCAAATGGGTCGGTCTTCCTTTCAATGTTGGCGTAAAAGTCTCGGACAAGCTGCGGATAAAACGCTCCAGTCAACGTGAGCATGATGGCCCGCCCAAGTTTGTCAAATGCCTGTGAGATCTGGAAAGAGCGTTGATTTCAGGATCAACGGTCTTCTCAACGACAATGTTCCAGTTCTTTCTCTTTTCATACCACGCTCGTTCTCCGGAAAGATAAAACGGGGAGTGGAAGAAGAGGAAGAACTAGCACCATTCCTTTGTTTAGGCTCCATTGACCTGCATTATTAGTCAAATACATATGCACTACATAATATATTTCATCAATTCAAGGTAATTTAGATTTAAAATCCAAAAATTCAACAATTTCCCCAAATATCATGTTCATACACAAATTCTTGCAACAATTATGTTTAGAAGACTATATATCAACAATATACCATATCAATATCCTTCTAAACATTAATTTTATAAAAGAATTAATTAATGAACAAGAAATTCGAAATTAGGGTTCTTGAGAAAAAAATTCAAGAACTTCCCCTATTTTTGAACTTTAATCTCAAAATATTGACAACAAACGTGTTTATAGGCATCAATTAAGCATGAGTAACTAATAATTAGCACATAGAAACATCAATTTTGCCATGTTTTGGAGAAAAGAAGAGAAACTGAAAAATAGAGAAATTTTAAATTTTGAAGCAAAATTACCTTGATTGATGATTGATTCTTGGATTAAGGGTTTGGGGAAGGTCTTTGTGATGTTGTGTAGGTCTTGGGGGAGTGTTTTTTAGTGCTAGGGAGCGGTTTTGGGGTGCTTGGGAACGTTTTCCGACGTGAGCTCTCGAAGAAATAGGGTGGGGAGCGTAAGTTTGGTCTGTTTTCGTGACTTGGGTGTGTTTTAAAATGGGGGGACCGGTTGTATGTGTTAAACTGGTTCGAGGCGCCTGTTTTGGACCAGCGCCGGTCATGTTGTGCGATCGGGGCCGATCGTTGCCTGAGCAAATTAATTAATTTCTTTTTTGTTTCAATTATATATAAATATGAGTGTTTGTATAACTAAACATACTTATTTATAATTGATTTTTTTGTTAGGTTGCCTCCCAATTAGCGCTCAATTTAATGTCATCGGACGGACGAAGCGTACCTTTTAATCTTCCAATTGGCATACGGTGGTTGCCGAAGTAATATGGTACTCCATGTAAGGCTTGAGTCGGTGACCATTTACAAGAAATGGTGTTTGGTCACCGTATTGAATCATCATTAACCTGTATGGTCAGACCTTGGTGATATGTAAGGTCCCGACCATAAGGATTTGAGTTTTCCAGGAAATAGACTGAGTCTTGAGTTGAAAAGTAATACCTTTTGCCCAACGTAGAACTCCTCCGGTTGATGTTTTTGTCATGCCAAGCTTTGGTTTTTTCCTTGTAGATGCGGGAGTTCACATATGCGTTCCTTCGGAGTTCTTCTAGCCCATTCAACTGAAGCATCATTTTTTCTCTTCCAAGTGTGGTATCAAGATTAAGTTGGGAGATAGCCCAACGAGATTTATGCTCAAGTTCCACAAGGAGGTAACATGGTTTGTCATAAACTAGCCGGAAGGGGGACATACCGAGTGAAGTTTTAAAGGCCGTCTGGTATGCCCATAAGGCATCATCAAGCTTTAGAGACCAATCTTTCCTAGAAGATTTGACCGTCTTCTCAAGAATGGATTTTATTTCACGGTTGGATACCTCCACTTGACCATTAGTTTGAGGATGGTAAGTGATGTCGGACTTGAACATGCACCCATATTTCTTTAAGAGGCCGTCAAAATGAGCATTTTTGAAATGGGTACCATTGTCACTACTCCTAGGAACGTCAAATCTTGATAATATGTTCTTTTTCACAAATTATACCACTGATTTGGCTGTGTTATCCGGTAGAGCTATGACTTTCACCCACTATGAGACATAATCAATAGCAACAAGAATGTATTCCTTGTCATGAGAGTTAGGAAAGGGACTCATGAAGTCTACCCCCATACATCAGATATTTCTACCACAAGAATCATGTTTTATGGCATTTCATTTCGTTGACTTAAATATTCGGTAAGTTGACAACGATCACATGCTAGGACAAAGCTTCTTGCATCCTTAAAAAGTGTCAGCTAGAAAAATCCACATCGAAAGATTTTAGCCGTTGTCCGGTCTAGGCCATGATGACCTCCACAAGGTAGATTATGGCAATGGTCAAGAATAGATAACATCTCTTCATTTTGGGACACATCGTCGTATAATTCCATCGGGACAATGTTTGAAAAGATATGGCTCATCCCAATAGTAATGTTTGACATCATTTAATAATTTCTTGCTTTGATGGAAAGTGAGCTCTTGGGGAAGAATTTCTTTGGCAAGATAATTCACAAAATCTGTGAACCAAGGTAAGGGAACTCCCTTCACCTCCATAAGTTGCTCATAAGGAAAATCATCATGTATTACCTCCATAGTAGTGGTGGCATTTGACTCAAGGCGAGAGAGGTAATCCGCCACAAGATTTTCACTTCCTTTCTTGTACCGAATCTCAAGGTCAAACTCTTGAAGCAATAACACCCACCGGATTAATCGTGGCTTAGCGTCCTTTTTATTCATTAGGTACCGAATGATGCAGTGATCGGTGTAAACAATCACTTTTTGGCCAATTAGATAAGACCGGAATTTGTAAAAAGCATAGATGACGGCAGGAGCCCCTTCTCCGTTGTTGCATCGTTGAGTCCCGCATCATGAAGTAACCTTGATGCATAGTACGATAGTATATGGCATGAAGTTTCTTTTCTTTTCTTTTTTGCTTTTAAACTATTGTTGATCTCCTATACATTTTATGAATTCATTCAAAAAAATATATGAATTCATTCAATTGATCAATTCATGTTCCTATTTTTTGTAAAATACGAGAAAAATACGTTTATACAAGAAGTAACAATTTTTTCCCTTTTTAAACGGACCGATATTACTTTTTGTTTTAAACATGTTTATTTGTTCCAAATAAAACGACACGTGTTTAAAACGCAAAACTGCTAATTAGGGTTTTCAGTGATTCCAAATAACATAAAGGAAGCATCCAACTTAGCTGGTTGTGGACTTACCCTTCCAGAGGAGAGGTCTCGTGTTTGATTCCCACTCTGCACAATGGAACTAAACCTTCCAAAAAAATCTTGGGTGGTGGGGCCAAGCAGTGTATACTATCCCGTACGACCAATGTCAAAGTTGGTTTTTTTGGGATATGGGGCTAGGGCTGGGTCCAGAAAACCGAAAACCGAAAACCGAATCAAATTAAACCGAACCGCAACCAAATAAAATCGAACCGCTAACAAACCGAAATCGAATGTAAAAAACCGAACCGAACCGAAGTTGTTTGGTTCGGTTTTGGTTTTTATCCTTCAAACTCGAACCGAACCGAACAAACCGAACTATTTAAAATATGAAATTTATATGTTAATTGTTAAGATTTAATTCTAGTTAATCTTAATATAATCAATAGTCTTTGGTTTTGTTGTGTTAAAGAAATAATGTTTGCGTTATGTTTAATTTAATTTAGTTTATAAATTCATTTACATATTCATTGCATGTAATAATGTAGCTATATTGAATGATGATAATATGTGTTTACTAGTTATTAGTAGTAATTAACTTTTATTATTTGCTAACTTAAAGATTTTATATTGATAAAACAATAAATATTCATCTCAACTATATCACATAGAACATATATATTTTAATGAACTTTTTTCGAACTAGTCTCACACAAATTAAATCAATAATATATATAGTTTTATCTATCTCTCATACTCATATAATTCTAGACATATTTATTTCTTCTCAGTTTTATTTTATTTGTTGTTGTATTGTGCTTGCATTCTTTATGTAATATGTTTGATCGCTCTACGTATTATATCAATTTTAAATCAAGTGATATTTTTTGGGTAAAAACCGAAAAACCCGAAACCGAACCGAAATAAACCGAACCAATCAAACCGTGGTTCCAAGTTTTGGAGTGTAAAACCGAACCGAAGCCGAACTGAACTTCTTACTTCGATTCTATATTTGGTTTTAGGTCAAAACTGGACCGCAAGAACCGAACCCACCCTATATGGGGCCGCGAATATGTGGGACTAGTCACTATAAAAAGTCTTCCATTATATTAATTTTATCCGCAAGAATAGCTCAATTAATTGAGTAGTGGAAAAATTGGAGAAATAACAAGTTGAAAACCTTCAAACCCTCTAGTGTGTATGGTATAAGACTTACCACTACCCATTATTTACGTCCTCCCATATGCGGGTCGGGACACGAGGGTCTTCCGGGTTGGGGATTCAAGTGATTCCAAAAAAAACTAAAAAGGCTCCACAACAGGTTTTCCAAACAGTCCAAAGTCTGACAGCATTTGGATCTTCTCCTGCAAAGGTTGAAGTTTCAATTCTCAAAAACAGATGTGATAAAATCCCAATTGCAAGGGACTCTTCAAAATTTCAACTTCGATGTTGCAATTTATCACTCCTTAATTCCTTATACCCTGCGAATCAGTATATATTTGCTAATCCAGAGACTTATATATGTATATATACTAGTATATAGAAACAGAGCCGAACCTGTTAACATTGGATCCCGCAACGACACCAAACATGAATTTATTCTCCAAGAAACCTACAGCTAAAGGTTATTTTTCCTTTTTTGTGTCTTATCAAATTTTGGAATTTCAGTTCCTTTTTTATCGGGATCACCAAATCCAATTTCATATCCTGCTTTTGTAATTCAATTTCTACTTATCTATACTGCCAAACTTGCTGTCTTTGTTATTACGCTATTGTTATTGTTATTATTATCATCGTTATTATGATTACTATTACTCTTATTATTAGTAATAATTATGGTTATTATTATCATTAATTTTTAAGAAAAAATGATTCTTTACGCAATGTTTACAATGCAGAGGTGCTCAGAGACAGTAAACGAGAAATGGCCAATGCCACCAGAGGTCTGTAGTTTTGTCCTTCTCTCAAGTAATCCATGTAAATTAGAATTATGATTTTTTATTAGAAGTGTAATGGTTCTGTTTAACAAAGAAAGAACAAAAATTTCTCTGTTTATATTTAGAATCCAAGGAATGCAACAAACATACTAAGTGATCATAGTTATGCTTGTTTTTGTTGAGTTGTTGCTGTTTACTAATGGTCACATTTGGGTAGAGAGTAACTCTTTGAATTGCTCAATATACGTCGTTATAGAAATGAATAAAGGGTGCTTCAAATGTTATCTGACCACCTATTATGTTATTCCTTCATTTTTTATAAAATCTCAAATACATACGAAGATATAAATGTAATCAAAACTAACCCATGGGGAGGTATTTGAGAGCAAGCACATGGGTAATGTTCTTTGACTTTGTGAAATCAAATATTAAGCTTAATATAGTTATATAGAGTAATTGAGTTGTCACTACAGCGCAAGGAAATAGTGACAGATCTCTGTATTTCGCTAATCATGTTGATGAGTTATCATCGTGATGCAGGCATAGAGAAGGAAATTTCTGCTTTGCAATTGGAGGTAATTTGTTGATGTTATTCATACTTATTATGAATATCTGTGTGATCATAACCTGAAGATTATTATGCGGTTTTACTTGTTTATAGCTCTGAAGTTGTCTTTTGTTTTTAAATCATAAGTAGATTGTTAAACCTAGAAAGAATGTAATTTGGTTACTGTTGAGACAGGAAAAGAAGCTTGTTGCTGAGATCAAGAGAACTGCTAAATCTGGAAATGAGGTCTGGCTTTTGATTGCCTATTGAGTTTAGTGATCCTTGACATCTACATATGATTAATCTATATTGCGATTCTATTGGGAGATTTCCCCCTATTTGGTGGTATAAATGAATTCCAAAATATGTATAATTGATTAGCAAACCTAATTTTTCATGTTTGGAGTAGAAAACAAAATCGTAGAATTCATTTAGTGTTCCAACTTCCAATTTATCAATCCCCCATTCCAATTGCATGGGCACTGTAAAATAATCTAAAATAATATTCCAGATTTATACCAATTTAGTCGCATAGGGGACTTTATTTTTCAATTTTATATCTTTTAATTGCATCAATTTTCAGGCTGCGACCAAGATACTAGCACGCCAGCTAATCAGGCTAAGACAGCAAATTGCAAACCTGCAAGGTAGCCGAGCTCAGATGAGAGGCATAGCAACTCACACACAAGCAATACATGCCCAAACTTCAGTTGCTGCAGGCATGAAGGGTGCCACTAAAGCTATGACAGCCATGAATAAGGTAAGATGGCTAGAGAAATATGGTTTTGATTTAATATAAATGTTTTTTCTTAAAAAAGGTTAGATGACCAGCGGGTTTTGTTACCTTGTATTCCTTTTCAGCCATGTCATATTCAGTTGTTTGTTTTTTAATTACCATGTATTCCTCATTCTTGTTTAAATTACATGTGAATCCAAATGCAGCAAATGGCTCCAGCAAAACAGGCAAAGGTGATTCAAGATTTCCAAAAACAATCAGCTCACATGGACATGATTGTAAGAATAATGATACTTTCAAACACCAAGTCGAAATGTTGATGGTCAGAAAAATAGGATCTTTTGTGAAGAAAAATTAAATAAGTTGTTGCTATATTTTGCAGACAGAGATGATGTCAGATGCCATAGATGATGCTTTGGACAATGATGAAGCTGAAGACGAAACAGAAGAGTTGACGAACCAGGTATATCCTTTAGGACCTTCATTAAAAAGTTATGCTGATTTTGGAGTAAAATTGCTGAAAACCTTTTGTTATTTGTTTTACCTTAATTAATACATAGTAGCATACACCACTTGACTGCCATAATAATTAGCCTTGGTGTAGTTATATACTTTCTCAGTCCCAAAAAATGAGTCCTGTTTCAAACACATTCTTTGTCCCAAAAGTAGTGTCCTATTGAGCATCAAGCTAACTTTGGGAAATTTCCCAAGATATGAGTAAAAACAATGTGAAATTCTGAAATAGGAGTTAATTTCATAGGAGTTAACTACTGTCATACTAAAATCATAATTTCATATTTTGGCATTATCAAGCAATTAATATGGCGGTATTAATGGCATAATTGGTAGTGTTTTTCAAACATGGTAGTAATTACTCCCATTTATGGAAGAAAAACATGACTCATAGTTTAGAATTTGACGTTCTTTTTACTCCTATTTAGGGCAATTTCTGCCTATTTTTTCATTTGATTTGTCAACAGTTTACCAATAAAGAGTCACAAACAAATTTGGATATGACTGATTTTTTTAAGCAAACAAAAGAAATAGAAAATATATGATTATGATTCGTGATTTATGACAGTTATACACTTATACCTTAACAAAACTAAAAGCATCGGTCAAACAAGACTTTTTTGGGCCGGAGGTTATAATTATCTTGTTCATCTTATATGTTCTGACAAGTCTTCAATTTGACTTCCGTAGGTCCTTGATGAAATCGGTGTTGATATTGCTTCACAGGTGAGCTTTGTACAATATGCATTTTTTAAAAACATGCATTTAGAGTGTGTTTTGCAATTAAGACAATTTTAATTCTGACAGAAATCACAGTAAGCATCCGAATCAAAAATTGTTTAACAGACTGAAAAATGCTATTTCAATGTGATTATGAAACAAAATAACTAAAAACTAATTGGTAATCAGAATTAGTTGTGAGATGCATTGGTGAGTGGCGTTTGAAATTAGTCAGTGATATACTAAAAAAATCACATCAAAAAAAATCTACACCCTACACCCTATTATAATTTCTAATTTTAAAACAAAACAAAAATAATATATAAATTCAGTTTAAATAAACATAAACAAAAAAATCCTTACTTTCTACACATAAATTTGAGTACTTGACTCATTAATTGTGTGTTGGACACTCGACAGTTATCAGCAGCTCCAAAAGGAAAAATTGCTGGGAAAAAGATTGAGGAGAGCAGTAGGTAATAATCTTTCTTTAAAGAGGAAATGGGAAATTATTATATATGGTTTGAAAAGAGTTAATTCATCAACCTTCTCTCATATTTATCATAACTCTTCTTGTCTACAGCTCGGGAATTGATGAACTGGAGAAGAGGTTGGCTGCCCTTAGAAATCCTTAGGTTCGATACATCATTTTCCTACTGTTTTTTAGTATAAGCTTCTTGGTAGAATTATTTGTACATGCCCCCTCCCCCGCATAACTATCATCCGATACACAGCCACACAGGAACCTCAGATGAGTAGTGGTTTGGTTCTTTATTATTTCAATTCTTGCCTTTTAATATGCTACAAAAGAGTGATTTGGTTCTTTGGAATTTTGCCTCTTTTATACGTAGTACTTTCTACCAAATATAAGCTCGAATAATACCGTTGTTTTGCACATCTCTGACTCCGAGTACCAAAACAATTCCCGTTTAAAATGGTGCACATATCAAAGAACCACACAAAGTGGCCCGTGTTTGAATATGACCATATTTTCGATTACCATGTTCCAAACAATTTTTCCATGACTTTTACTACAATACTAGAAAATGACTAACCATCCAAAGTTTCTCTCAACCTAATTCTAATGATCCATCCTCTCACAGCTCACATGACTACAAACACATCAGACTTGTCATGGATTTGGCTCCACAATGGCTCTTTGGTTTTGGGAATATTTTTTGCTATAAATAACCAGTGATGGAGGTCCTCGCCTCCTCGGCCTTCTGGCCGATGGCATGGCCCCATGCTTGTTGAAGCTTCCTCGAGACATCGTGAGATGTTTTTTAGGAGAGCAAAGCTATTGATAATGTTATGGCTAAGGAGAGCAATTGCTTTTTCAATCACAGATTTCTCCCAGTGAAAGCTATTGATAATGTTATGGCCCGGGTCCATCCCTAGATCGGAATAATCGAGTTGAAGAATTCGATTGTAAGTTCTTGAGTTTTTATGGATGTAAGAAGATCTGCAAATCTTTTCTGTATTATCATACGTGTGTTAACAATATACTTTATATATTGGATACACTACCCCAAGATTTCAAGTTTTCAACACTTAACACTTAGTTGACTTTAATCCAACCCTGGATGCAACTCTAACCCCAGCAATTAGAGTCCATTTGTTATCTCCTATTTTTAACTTATCAACTTTATCAATTAATTTTTTTTATCAAGAACACAAGTTTTGATTTCGCGCGATTTGAGTTACTTTTATAGTTGAATTGACTTAAATTTCTAAAGAAATTTGTTTTGGATATTTTTCATACGGGGTATGTTTTTCTTTGTTTTAGTAATAAAATATATATTAAATATAATTGTTTCATAATTTAGCAGATTCAAACAATTCAATCGCTTTAGTCAGAATTTCACCAGTTTCATCAGATTCAGCAAAATGCAGTGTTACTAAACAGATTTTTATTCCAATAACTTAAGGAATTGCCCTAAATAGGACTAAAACATGGTTAAAATTCCAAAGTATGACTATAAGTTTATTATTCCCAAAATAGGATCTTGCCCTTCATACAATTAAAACCCAAATAAATTCAGATATGTGAAGGCATCAACTATTTCCAGTCATCCCAACCGCTCCCTCGTCATGTCATAGCCGCACATCACTCTTTTATAATTTCTCTGGTAGACCGCACACATCTTTTGCTGCAATTTCTTAGTGAATCCAAATAATCCTCTTCTTCTACTTTTTCTTTTTCTTCTTCTAATTCTCTTTCTTCTAATTCTTTTTCTTCTTTTCCTCTTCTTCTTATTCTTCTTCATCGTCCCCTCTGTTTTCTTCTCCACACGCTCCTCTGTTTTCTACTTCTTTTGAATTCCATACGGAGTATTATTTTAGACATTTTAATGTCATTTAAAAATTTAATGCCACTTTTATGGCATTGCATTTGTTACGATAACAGTTTTGACCTGCTTGTCATGCTTTGCATCTAAATGTTATCTTTCCTCGAAAATGATATGTTTTAATAACTATAAATGTCATTTTTCTATTAAAAAATGTCTAAGGTTGTTTTTACCTGCACTGTAATTCGTCCCAGACCAGACCAGACTAAAACATAGCAGACCAGACCAAATCAGATCAGACCATATTTATTATTATCATCATCATAATCATCGTCATCGTCATCAGCATCATCATCATCATTGTTATTATTATTAGTATTATTAGTATTATTATCTCTGTTCTAAAATTGTGATTTTGTTGGAGGGGGAGGTCGTGCAGTAACAATCGATGGTGGTTGTTGTCTCGCTAGAGGGCGGCGGATGGAGGTTGTGTTGGACAATGGCATTGGTTGAATTGTTGGCTGAGACAACCCCATTAGAAGCAACAATAGTCATGGAGGTTGTGCATCACTGGTGTACATCACCATAATAAGGATGATTTTGTCAAATTAGTTCTTTTCAGTCCTATTTTTGTCCCATAAAACATACTATCCTCCGTATCCCATTAATTGCAACATTGGAATATATACACTATTAATATAATTTACTTTGGCTATATTTTATTTAGTGATGTATGTGAATTATTTTTTTTTGAAAAATATTGTTAAATTCATCTCATTACTAAGTTTTATAATCTGATTTTTATTTTATTTTTACTAATTAAATATAATGACCAGCAAACGTGAAATGTTGACTGTTGCAACTAAAAAGAGACGGATGAAGTATTAGTCTTGTTTTTGCAATCCTATTTAGGGAATTGTCTCTATAACTTATGATCATACGTCTCCATTTAAAACAAATTGAAATTTGAAAGTGCCTCTGCTAAAATGTTTTTAACTGGATTATATCAATCCCAAATCATATCAGATTAGACCAAATCAGGCTTTAGCAATTGTAAAACACACATATAACAAACATCTACCAAAATACCAAATCAAACAAACATCTACCAAATCAATTCAGGTCAGGGTTACACAAGCAAAACCAAATCAAATGAGACCAGAAAATTACATCAAAAATAAAAACATCACAAATATTCTGGACGAAACCCATTACGGAATTACATAGAAAGTACAGGTAAAGCGTCATGGAAGACTGGAAGTAACAAACCAGCTATATATACAGCAGCTATTGCCGACGAGGGCATAATAAATTCATACTAATTTATTATAGCTATCAAATCCCGTGTACACATGATGAAAACTTTTGCACTTCGTGATCATTTTCTTGGATGAGAGTCCAACTCCGTGGACATAATCTCCAGAAAACAAAAAAAAAATTATAAAACTGATACAAGTTAGTTACAGCAGCACAGGATGCATTTCCATTTAACAGAAACAGGTAACTTTCCATTATTACAAACTGCATCTATCATCATCACTTTCTGATTGATAGGAACTCGAAGCTCCTGAAGGGGTCATCGCGGGGGCCTTTTGCGACCCCAGCCCGAGAAAAGGATGAAAGCTTGGCTGCTTCGGACCCATTTTGAAGCCTGTGAGTAGTAGACAGGCGACCAGTACTTGAAACTATTCTGCTCGGGCGACTATCGGTTGCTTCAGAAGAGTTGGGTCTGCTGCTTGAAATTGCAGCTCTTCTTGATGACATGGCATTTCGGGACGTACGACCCCTTTCAGTATCTGGTTGCTGCAAATAAATGCCACATCTACTTTTAGGGTATAAAATAGGCATTGTAACAATATAGAACATTTTTGTACTTGACCACAGTTATTCTTTGTAGGCTTCACTATATTCCTCATCATTTTTGTACTTGACCACAGTTATTCTTTGTAGGCTTCATTATATTCCTCATCCCTGTGGTGAGATTTTTTCTGTTATTCTTTTCTGTTATTCATACTTGACTTTGTTTCCTTTTAGTCCGCCAAGACAACTTCTAAAACAAAACTGGCCTAGCACTACTGAACTCTTTTTATCTGGCCTTTTCACACACTACTTAAAAACTGCTTCAGTTTATTTCAAGCCAAAGAAGCGTGAAATGAAAGTTTCTAAAGAAAAGGTTTAATATCTCATTTCAAGAGAGCCATAGAGAGACTTAATTTGAAAAAAAGAATGGTAAATTTGCCTTTACCCTATATCCCTTAACAACTTCTCTTTTCAAACTGACCTGCCTATGGTCTGCCTGACTCAGTAACTACCCAGTTTTCACCCAAATACTCTAGTGCCGTGTTTTAGAACACTGAGCACTGCCTAAAATTTATTTCATCATCAAAAGTAATGCCTAGAGTTAGCACAAATTTTTAACTTTCAAGCAGAAATAAGTGTTTTCATTTCAATGATACCATGCACTCCTTCCATCCCAATAATGAGTCACATTTGGCCAAGTACAACCCTAAAAAGTAATAGCATATTACATACATATTTAACTTTTTATGTTGTTACTGAAGTACAACTCTTAAAAGTTATTAACTTACCGGTTCAATGGGTATGTCACCTAAATAAATGGGAGGGAACAAATTAGTAACTTCTACTTTGCTTTTGTATGTGAATAGCACTTCTGTAGTATATGCAACAACATTAATTGTATTATATCTTTTCTAGCAAACATTCTTTTGTTAAAACCCATTGGATTAGGCTACGTATTCAATTTAGACAGATATATGACATAAACTTAACCATACACATTCAAAGGTAAACATACACCCAATTATTCCTCTAATAATTTTGTAACTTCTTAATGACAAATTAAATGGAAAAAATACTCCTTTGTAGGATATATGAATCTTTCTTGGCATGCGAGGATTTAAGCGTGACTCATTAACCTTCAAGTACAAATTGAAAGCAAGTCAATAGCTGAAGAAAAGAAAAAAACTTTACCACATCTTTGGAGGAAGGCACATCCTCTGACCTCTGTCTAGAGTGTTCAACATGGCGGCCAGAACCTGAAGTATTTCTCCTTGAAAGCGCCTCAACAGCACCAGAAAATTTGTCTCTGAGGTCTTGCCCCACTACATAAAAAGGACCAAAATATCACAAATGCCCCCATGATGATAACTATCAACATTGTTCATTTGCTTGAAGGAAAAAAACAGCATACCTGATGTTCTTCCTGGTCTTTCAGCAGATGGCCCAGCATTTAATCCTGCACCCCCACTCGAAATCTGATCAAAAAACAAGAAATAAAATATCAAAAAGTAGCCAAAAATAAGTAGACAATAAGAAAAGGTTTTAAGAATCAACAATAAGAAAATAGTTTCAGAAGCACCTACTCGGCCTCTCGAAGTAGCACCAATTTGAGGATATTTCAATATTGTCCAATCAAATACAAAGTCAAATTGATAACCTGAAGAGGTCAAAAGGTTAAAATGCAGAAAAAAAAAGGTAACTAAAAGATTAGGAAAATAAACATAGAAATTTCAAAAGAGACGGAAAAGGCAAAAGATTCACTTTGTCAACTTACCTTCGCGAATAAATAAATCTCTGAAGAGACGTTTAAGATAAGAATAATCAGGTTTGTCTTCAAAGCGCAATGATCGACAGTAGTGAAAGTAGGATATAAACTCTGATGGATAAGACTTGCACAGCACCTGTAGTGAAAACCAGATTCATGAATAGCTTGTTTGATAGCAGAAACGTGTGGCTCTATTTTTCAATTGGAGGTATGCCATAAGGTACCTCTATCGGAGTTAGCATTTTCTTTTCGCTGATTTTATCATATTTCTGTTTTTTGGTACCAGCTCTTAATCCCTGCCACGGAAGGCTGATCAAGGAATAAATTTCAGATTAAATATCCACAATAATATTGAAATGTGTTAACTTGAAAAAATTACAGTCAAGAAATGAATAAAAGGTGCAGCCCTTAAAATCTAACCTTCCTCTGAGGAAATACATAAGGACATAACCAAGAGACTCCAAGTCGTCCCTTCTGCTTTGTTCTATTGGCAAATAAAGAAGAGTTAATATACAAACTCTACTTTGATTCTAAAACTAAATCAAGTTGTATCTCAAAAAAACACAAACAAGTACATAAGTATGAGTGTGTATATGTTGATATCTGAAGTATTATTGTGAAGTAACTCACCAACACCAAGGTGTGTGTTGACACTCGCATAACGAGCTGTACCAGTCAGATTCTTGTTTTCCCTGAGATAGAATTAAAAACCCCAATTTGAAAGCTTCTTATAAACACAAATTTTTCATCCATTAGGTGAGGGTGAGAGAATAATAGAGACAATTTCTTAGTGCCTCCATATACATCAAAAGGTAAAAGCCAGAGAAATGGCAGAACCTGTATGGTATGTGCTTATGAGTCTGAAGATCCCTATACTTTTTAGCAAGGCCATAATCAATAATGTAAACCTGCATAAATATTTATCATCTAGTAAGCTCAACGTTATGGAATTACTAAGCATAAAAAGTCATTTTTAGTAGGCTAAGTGAACTACGCCTTGATACCAGATGCTACATTGCTACTATGCAGTATGCACCGGATCATTTGAGTCATTCAGCAAGCATCTATTTCTTAGTCAACCCAAGTATTCTGTGTTTAATCTATTCAAATAGGACTCTTTTGGGGGGACAAAGGGAGTGGTATAAGATTGGGTAACATTCATGTTTGGGACTCGGCATCCATTTTTTAAATTAAACTGGATAATAACTCATAAAAACTTTACCTGGTTTGCTTTGCGACCTAGACCCATCAAGAAATTGTCTGGCTTGATATCACGGTGAAGAAGACCTCTGGCATGCATGTACTCGACTCTATTTATCTGAGAAGGAAATCACACATTATCACCTATTCAACGTGATTGCAAACAAGCAAAAATATACCACATTTTTAAATCAATAATTGCTTACTAATTGATCCGCAAGCATTAGCACGGTTTTAAGTGAGAACTTCCTATTGCAGTAGTTGAAAAGATCTTCCAAACTTGGACCAAGGAGATCAATGACCATAACGTTGTATTCAGGCTCAACTCCATACCATTTGAGATTAGGAATACCCGCTTCATAAGATAAAGAATATTTTTAAGATACATTTATCTTAAAAAGAATTTGATGGACTTACTCCAAAAGAAGATGATGTTTTTGCAAGGATAAAGTATATCTATAAGATTTTGTATAGTATCTATCCATATGATTTGATAGTGTTTTGATAAACTCTTGTGCGGCCCATCACCTATTTTGTTGTGTTTGGCCGTGTGATCCTACATAGATTTAGCATCTAGGCTTTTGAGGTGATGGGTTATCCGATCTCCGGATAGCCTACATTTTTGCCCACCTTTTTGCTGTACAGATGTACTATTTTGGATGATCTTTAATACAGAGTATATACTTACATTTCATCCAAAAAAAAGAATATTTTTAAGATATTCACTCAATGTCCACGGTGTGTTTCAAAATATACTAACATACTGGGAACTAGGAAGATAGAAAGATAAAAAGTATAGCATGCTTCCTTGATGAGATGAAAATAAATAGATAAAAACAATATTAGTTGCAATGATTGCCTGAACTTTAGCGTCAGAGAAATTGCAACAGAATGCCAACAAAAAAACACATAGAGGGAGAAGCAGAATTCAAAATGTTGAACAGTGAAATGATGATAACCAAAACAGAGAAAAGGAGCTTACTTCCTCCTTGGAGGAGCATATAAATCT